CCACCTAGAGAGGACACATCATTATTGTCTCCAGCTCAATCTAAGAGCAATTTAGCTATGCCTACTGATCGGAAGGATAATAAATATCATAAACATGACCATTGGTCCTTTCCAGTCAGTAGAGAGGAGAAAAGCCCTCCCATTCAAAACAGGCTCCCTAAATTAGAAAGGAAGCCTAAACCAGGTTCTCCAGCTGGCAGCGGCGCCATTAGTGGGGACACCCCGTACATCAGCAGCAAGATCAGCCTTATCTCCAAGGCGGAGATCCGCTACGAGGGCATACTCTACACCATCGACACCGAGAACTCTACCATAGCTCTCGCCAAAGTTCGGTCCTTTGGTACAGAAGACAGACAAACAGATTGTCCAATACCACCTCGAGATGAAGTCTTTGAATACATTATATTCCGTGGAAGTGATATTAAAGACCTCACTGCTTGTGAGCCGCCAAAACCACAATGTTCTTTGCCTCAGGACCCAGCTATCGTTCAGTCTTCACTAGGCTCATCTACTTCTTCATTCCAGTCAGTGGGTTCCTATGGACCTTTTGGCAGGATGTCGATGTATAGTCAGTTCAGTCCAAGTTCATTAGTTGAGCAGCAATTTGGTGCTGTTGGTGTTGCTGGAAGCTCCTTGACATCCTTTGGAACAGAAACATCAAACAGCGGTACCCTGTCCCAAAGTAGTGCAGTTGGTTCTGCCTTTACACAGGCTACAAGATCTGTAAAAACACAGTTATCTCAAGGTTATTCAAGCCCTCAGTTAGATCCTTTGAGAAAAAGCCCTACCATGGAACAAGCAGTAGAGACTGCCTCGGCCCACTTACCTGCTCCAGCACCTGTTGGGAGAAGGAGCCCTGTATCGACCAGGCCTTTACCATCTACCAGCCAAAAAGCAATAAAGAATCAAGAGCACAGGCGAGCTGATATACACAAAGTTTCAAGACCAGAAAATGAGCAACTCAGAAATGATAGCAAGAGACAAATAGTTCCAGGTGCTCTTTCAGTTCCAAGGAGAGGGTGTGGGAGTCATCGAGGTGGCAGGGGAAGATTTGGTATTCGGCGAGATGGTCCTATGAAATTTGAGAAAGACTTTGAAAGTGCAAATGCACAATTTAACAAGGAGGAAATTGACAGAGAGTTTCATAATAAACTTAAATTGAAAGTGGAAGATAAACTTGAGAAACAGGAGAAGCCTATAAATGGTGAAGATAAAGGAGACTCGGGTGTTGATACTCAAAACAGTGAAGGAAATGCAGATGAAGAAGATCCACTTGGACCTAATTGCTATTATGACAAAACTAAATCCTTCTTTGATAATATTTCTTGTGATGATAATAGAGAATGGAGACCAACCTGGGCTGAAGAAAGAAGATTAAATGCTGAAACATTTGGAATCCCACTTCGTCCAAACCGAGGCCATGGGGGGGTACAGAGGCAGAGGAGGTCTTGGTTTCCTTGGTGGCTGAGGCCGTGGTGATGGTAGAGGTGGTACCTCCACCACCCCTCAAGGATTTTGTGGTGGATTCAGAGGAGGTCGTGGGAGCAGGGAATTTGCAGATTTTGAATAGAGGAAAGACAACAAAGTTGCTGCATAGTCTACAAACAAGTCTTTGGAAATAGGTGAATTAACC